TGCAGCTGAGCGTGGCATTGTTACGCAAGTGACAGCGCAGTGTTAGATTGGCTAGTCCTTTGGTAACAAGTCGGTGAGAAGGGCTGGGGTTCTGACGCCGCGCTCATCACAGTCTAGTCCCTGCTGAACCCACCGAATTTCTAAAAAAATACAGGTAACAGCTAGTTCATTGGGGGAATGCGCTACTATTTAAAAATGAAAACTGATGCTTGAATGTCATAGAGTAGTTTGCATTGCAAGACTACACATACTGTATGTTTAAATGACCTCTAAGCTGTCCCACATAACAGTGTTTGGACCTGGAAATTGACCTCTTGGGTTCAAGCACTACACCCTGTAGGTGGGGGAGATTGGCAAAGGTATCAGTTGGCGACAGAAGACGCCTGTCAAGAAAGATTGTACTTTTTCCCTGAATGGGAAAAGTGACTGATTCTTTTTAGGACATAAACTTAGCAAAATACATAATACTATGATTCCTCAAACAAAAATTTAGATGATGCTTTCAATATACCATTGGGCTGCAGATACCACACTTTGATTACAAAGGTAAAGTGAAACTCTTTCAATCAACATGGACTATTTTTAATCCTTATGCTGCTAGCATTAGTAAATTGATAGGAAAGTATATAATATTTAATTGTTTTTAAACTTTTTTTTTTACATTTCTTCAGTTACTTTCTGGTTTCTATGCCTAGGCAAATGATCTCATACATCCCAGGTGTCTTCAGGAGGGTAGGGAGGGTTCTCAGCTCAGCCAATGCCTGAGCTAAGGGCAGATGGATTCCATTAAGTAACTGCTACAATAATTATCTGCCTTGACTCAAGCTGGCCACTGCCAGAAATGCCAGAGGGTGTTTTTTAAAATGATTTCTCAGCAAAATAAAGCATGGAGACATGGATGGATGGGGGAATTTGCACTGAATATTAACAATGAATTAAATAGCATTTTTGGTTTGTGGTGCAGTTCCACTTTAACCCCAAAACAACTTTTAATGTACAAATGGTTTTGAGCAGGCCTGTGTTGGTGGTCTTGTTACATAGTATATTACCAGCTATAAACATATTGAAATAAAATCTGTTTACTGCTGCTGTGACCACAAGTGCTCACTCAAGATTCCGAGTCTGTGTAACAGACAATGAAGAACTGAACATTCCAAACTGTTTATTAAGCAGCTGAAATGATTTTGTCTTTATGTGGTTTAAATACTGTTGGTATTTTGGAGACAAATCTCTTTGCATGTTTCAACCACCTCTGAAGAGAACAGAAATGATATTACAGCAGGTGGTGGGGTTTGCTGGAGAGATAGCACAGAGACTATAAAAGGAAATGGTGACAAACTCTTGTTTGCTTCATGGAAAATTGGAATGCCATTGGATTTTATGTGGGAACAGGCTTCAGATCTTTCAGTTGTTTCTCAACAAGAGAAATAAATGTAGGCAGAGTCATTCTCATACTTCCTGTTTGACTTTTCCTTTGCCAAAATAGAAATAAGTTATTACCCATTTAGTCTGCAACTCACATAGACATCTGTAGCAAGCTTTCAACACACACATAGACAACAAAACCCTTAAAGCTGAATTCAACCTTAAAAAGAAAATGTGTGGGGGGGGGGGGGGGGGGGGGGGGGGGGGGGGTGGGGGGGGGGGGGGGGTGGGGGGTGGGGCCAAAAAAAAAGGTCGGATTTTTATGACAGAAGTTGGTCTCTTCTATCATAAACCCTTCTGCCTTCATGTCACCATTTGTGCACAATGTGCAGCACATGCATGGCTCAGTGTACATTTTACAGCACAGCTCTGTACTATGACAATGCGATTCCCGTGCGTGTGTGCAGGACTGACGTCATCACGGGCCTGCCAACCAAGCAGCCAGAGAGTTACACCCCAGAAAGAAGACCGGGAGAAGATGGCAGCACCTGTGATCAAATGGAACGTTGGAGGGGATCACTAGCCAGGTAAGTGCTAATATGTGCTAATACTCTGTGCATACTAGTAAAATTATAGCTAAAGGTTCCTGGGGCCCAAATAAATTTTTTTGGAGGAGGTTTCATTTTACCTTAAAGTGGAACTAAACCCATTGATATAACTGTCTCCCAAAACAGTTACATTCAAGGCAGGTTAACTGTCACAGTTGCTTTTGCTCTTAAGCAGAATGGCAAACCATTAACTGGTTGGTGTTATAACTGATCACATGTGGAGGACCATGGTAACTGAAGATCAAACAGAGGCTAAGATGGCAGCTTCCTCAGCTGTAAATAATAATTACCCTTTAACATGTCTTCTCACATGGAGTAAAAGTGCACTATGGGCCTGCAACAAAAATCAAACCAATTTAGCAGGGAGCTTTGAGGCAGTAGGGGAACTCTGAACACCACAGTCTGCATAAATTAAAAGAAAACTGACACCATTGATATTTTTAGCTATGGTTAATAGGGTAATTCTTCCCAATGTCCTTAAGTGTAAGGAGAATTCTTCCCACTGGCTATCACATTATTATTATTATTATACAGTATTTATAAAGTGCCGATAGTTCACTCAGCGCTGTACATTACAAAGGGGGACAGAACATGTGACAGAACAATACCAATACAATGCAAAACATGAGGGGATCGAGGGCCCTGCTCTTTCGAGCTTACAATCTAGAAGGGACGGGATAGTGATACAGGAGGAGATAGCTGTGGGGGATGGAGTGGTAGGAAGAGTGGAGGAGGTCGGTCAAGTTAGCAGGGGGTAGGCTTCCCTGAAGAGATGGGTTTTCAGGGTGCGCCTAAAGGAGAGGAGAGTAGGTGATAATCTGATGGGTTGGGGAAGGGAGTTCCAGAGGATGGGTGACACCCTGGAGAAGTCCTGGAGGCGGGCATGGGAGGAGGAGACCAGGGAACTAGAGAGAAGGAGGTCTTGTGAGGAGCGGAGTGTGCGTGCTGGGCAGTACTTGGATATTAGGTCGGTGATGTAGTTCGGGGCAGTATGGTGGATAGCTTTGTACGTCAGTGTTAGGATTTTAAATTTGATCCGTTGCGCAATCGGAAGCCAGTGGAGGGATTGGCAGAGGGGGGTGGCGGGCGGAAACGGAGCGGTTGGAAAGGTGAATGAGTCTGGCAGCCAAATTCAGGATCGACTGAAGCGGGGATAGCCAGCAGCGAGGAAGGCCAGTGAGGAGGGAGTTGCAGTAGTCGAGTCGTGATATGATGAGGGAGTGGATGAGCTGTTTAGTGGTTTCTGGGGTTAGGAACGTGCGTATTTTGGCAATGTTGCGGAGGTGGAGTCTGCACGAGTTTGTTAAAGATTGGACTTGGGGCTGGAAGGATAGGTTGGAGTCCAGAATGACACCAAGTACTCTGGCCTGCAGGGCGGGTTTTATATTGGCGTTGTTGGATGTGATGGAGAAGTCAATGGGGGGTGGGGTTTCGGGCTGGGGGGAAGACAAGAAGCTCGGTTTTGGAGAGATTCAGTTTAAGGAAGTGGAGCGACATCCAATCTGATATGTCGCTCAGTAGGTGTGTGATTCGGGGCAGAGACCGAGGGGGTGAGGTGGGGGGTTGAGAGATAGATTTGTGTGTCGTCGGCATAGAGGTGGTAGTTGAAGCCGTGAGAGTGTATGAGTTGGCCAAGGGAGGAGGTGTAGATGGAGAAGAGAAGGGGCCCAAGGACAGAGCCTTGAGGGACCCCAACAGAGAGGGGGAGTGAGGGGGAGGTGGTAGCATTATAGGTAACGCTGAAAGAGCGTTGTGACAGGTAGGATGAGAGCCAGGAGAGAGCAGAATCTCTGAGGCCAAGGGAGTGTAGTATTTTGAGGAGGAGGGGGTGGTCAACTGTGTCGAAGGCCGCAGAGAGGTCAAGGAGTAGGAGCACTGAATAGTGGCCATTAGCTTTGGCGGTTAGAAGGTCGTTGGAGAGTTTGAGTAAGGCGGTTTCGGTGGAGTGTAGGGGACGGAAGCCAGACTGTAGGGGATCGAGGAGGTTGTTGTTGTTGAGGTGAGAGCATAGGCGGGTGTAGACGAGGCGCTCGAGGAGTTTAGATGTAAGTGGGAGCAGGGAGATGGGTCTGAGGTTGTTCGGGTCATTGGGGTCCAGGGAGGGCTTTTTAAGTATGGGGGTGATGATGTGTGCATGCTTCAGTGGGGAGGGGAAAGTGCCGGAGGAGAGGGAAAGATTAAAGATGTGGGTGAGGGAGCGTAGGATGGAGGGGGAGGGAGGTCGTACGAATTGTGAGGGGATAGGGTCGAGGGGGCAGGTGGTGAGGCGGGCATCAGAGAGGATCTTGGAGACTTCCTCAATGGTAGTAAGGTCAAAGGTGTGGAGTGTTGGGGGAGCTTCAGTATGAGGAATGTAGGGTGGGGTGGGAGTGGAGGTCAGAGCAGTGGTGGGGCCGTGGGAGAGGGGTGATGAGGGGGTAGCTGAGTGAGGGGGAACGAGGTTGGAGGGAGTTTGAGCAGTGACGAAGTCCCTGCGGGTAATGTCGAGGGGGAGGGGGGATGAGGGGTAGCTGTGTGAGGGGGACGGGGTTGAGAGGGCGTGTGAGCTGCGGCAATGTCCTTGCGAATTGTGTCAATCTTGTTTTTGAAGTGATTGGCAATCTCAAGGGCGGTGAGTGAGGTGCTGGGTGGAGGTGGGGGTGGAGAGAGTAGAGAGTTGAAGGTGGAGAAGAGTCGGCGAGGGTTGGAGGAGAGGGTCTTGATGAGGGTCAGGAAGTAAGCTTGTTTGGCTGCATGGAGGGAGGAGGTGTAGGTGCGGAAGGCAGATTTGTAGCGGGTGAAGGCTTGTTGGGATTTTGTTTTGCGCCATAGTCGCTCCAGGGCACGACTGTGTCGTTTGAGGGTTTAAGATACATTAAGGTTTCATGAGCTGTAGATCTAGTAATTTTTAGCAGGGGGTTCCCTGAGACTGGAAATTTATTTCAAGGGTTCCTTGGTGTTGAATGGGTTAAGAAAGGATGCCCTGGACCAACCTGGACCATTCTACCCACTGACCCCAACATAAGGAGCATTCTTCCCACTGACCACCAATGTAAGGGACATTCTTCCCACTGACACCAATGTAAGGAGCATTCTTCTTCCCACTGACCATCAATGTAAGGAGCATTCTTTCCACTAACCACTAATGTAAGGGATATTCTTCCCACTGACATCAATGTAAGGAGCATTCTTTCCACTGACACTAATGTAAGGGACATTCTTCCCACTGACACCAATGTAAGGAGCATTCTACCCACTGACCATCAATGTAAGGAGCATTCTTCCCACTGACCCAAATTTAAGGAACATTCTACCCACTGACCACCAATGTAAGCAGCAATCCTCCCTCTGACCACCAATGTAAGGGACATTCTTCCCACTGACATCAATGTAAGGGACACTCTTCCCAATGACCTTAATGTAAGGAGCATTCTACCCACTGACCACCAATGTAAGGAGCATTCTTCCCACTGACACCAATGTAAGGAGCATTCTTCCCACTGACCACCGATGTAAAGGACATTCTTCCCACTGACCCCAAAGTAAGTAGCATTCTGCCCACTGACCATCCTGCTAATGTACCGTAAGCTGTAGATGTAGTAATCATTAGTAGTGGTTCCTTAAGTCTGCAAAGTTGTTTCAATAGTTCTGCCACTTTAAAAAGTTTGAGAAAGGCTGGTCTAGGGTGTCAGTCTTCTCACAAAGTAACAAGTGTTGCACCCTTGTCAGGCACTAGGTGGAAGGATGGACCTTTTTCATTCAGCAACCTGGGACAACCGTGTTCACTTGCAGCAAGTGTCAGCTCCGTCTGGGAGACTCCTCTGTTTCGGGATGGCTGTGTCCACACGGAGGGGGCCTTTCATCTGAAGAGTGCAGGAGTGACCTATAGAAGAGCCTGGCTGTGTGTATGAAAGTGGCATCTTATTACTGATAATTCAAGTGATCTTGTCACTATATAAGATGATTTATATTTCTCTCTCTGGCGGCCTGTGTATTTAAAGAAGAACTCCAGGGAAAGAAAAAAATGTGCTGGTGATGGCACACAAGGAGTTAAAAGTAGAACAAAAAACCCTTCAATCTTTTAGGCTAGGTTTACAATGGCAACAGCCATTGTTGCTGCTCTGGAGAACAATCCACAGTGGATCACTTTTCAGAGGGCATTTGATAGGCAGTAAGGAAGGTTATTTTGTTTGCTCACCACCTGATTTAACCCCTAAAAACCTGCACCACTGTGCTGCAACTGTGCGCATTGTACATGGTTGCGGGGCAGCTCCATTTTTGTCACGCCATGATGCAAAGCATCGCAGATGCAGATTATGTGCACCCCCTTTGCAGCCTTTTGCTGTGTGTTATCCCCTCCTAACACTTGCATTCTGTACATCACATACTCCTGACCCCTGCACTCTATGCATTGCCCACTCCTGACCATTGAACTACTATGGACATTACTCACTCATGACCTTGCATTCTGTACATTACCCAGTCCTGATCTCTGAACTAATACATAATCCAGTCCTGACCCTTGAAATATGTGCATTACCCACTCTTGACCCCTGAAATATGTGCATTATCCACTCATGACCCTTGCACTCTGTACATTACCTCCTCCTGGCCCCTGAACTATGTACTGTACATGACCCACTTGTAACCCCTAAACTATGTACATTACCTACTCCTGACCCCTGAACTATGTACTTTACGTTACCCACTTATAACCCTTAACCTCCCTAACGGTATTCCCGAGTGTAGTTCGGGGTAAAATGTCAGTGCCAAAAGCGGTAACCCCGAGCTACACTCGGGCTTACCATGCGGCGCTGCATAGGGAGTCCCTGCAGCACTTACCTTGTCCTTCGCTCCCACGATGTGTCCCCTGCAGCGTCCCCGGCCATCTCCTCCGGCTGATGCCGGCATCCGGCTTCTGTGTTCCAGTCCCTGTGACGTCGGGATGTACGGGCGCCGCCCGCGGCGGCGGGAAATTTGAAAATTTTAAAAAATGTCATTTTTTTCAAAACACATTTTTCATAGTAAAACATTGCTGTTTCAACCCATTTCACATACATTTTGTCCCTAGTGCTTTGTCCTGTGCCCTGCCTGCGTTTTGTCTGTTCTTTCTGCCTGGAAACTGAGAAATGTCCATGGTGTCAAAAAAGTGTCCCTTTAGGTCAAAAGCGGGTTTAGATCAGCTAGAGAACAGCGATAGTAAATCAGAACCACTTGCAGAATTGAGTGATAATGATTTGTGGGGAAATTCGTCATCAGACACTGAAAACGATTTTGCGACTTTGCTCAGCAATGTGCGAACTTGGAGCTATATTTCAAATTTCAGTGTTTTCGGTTTGATTATATTATTGAATTAAATGTATTATTATTATTATATTATTATTTTTTATGATTATTTATTAAATTATAATTTATGATTTCGTGTTTCAAATTTTATCATACCCGGGATGTTTAATAGACTCTTGTTCGGACAGATTTCAGTGAGTTATTCCTAAAAATTACAGCCTACAATAAAAAAAAACTACTTATTTCCATGCAGAATAATGGTACCGCTTTCAGCACCCAAAAATCTGAAATAATCATACCGCTAGGGAGGTTAAACTATGCACATTACCCACTCCTGTCCTCTGCACTCTGTATATTACATACTCCAGACAACCGCATTTTTTAAAATTATATACACCTGATACCTGCACTCTATATGTTACATACTTTTGATCCATGTGCACTGTACAGGTTTTAAATCCCTCCCACTTTTTTTGCCATACCCAAATTTTTCCATTACATACATTGCCTGCAGGCTTAGGGTAAGGGGTGATTAGGCTCAGGCCCTGGCTGTGAGAGGGAGGCCCTGCCAGGTAGGATGTGCGGGGCCCTCATGATTTCTAACAGCGACTATGTAACAATATTATATTTTAAAGAAGTATGGACAATACTCTTTTGGCCATCTTCTTCAGTGGGTCACAGGAGTGCACTTAGTCCATGGCTGACATCACAGAGCCTGTCTAGGATCTGCAGGGATCCCAACAACCATGTCGGGATCTGCCCAGATGCCTAACTGGAAGCTGGCTCAGCGTTGCTGAGAGCCTGAGCCAGCCAATCCCGCCCCGTCCACAATGTTCTTTTAGAAACAGCATGCGTTAAGTAAATTACCCTTAACAATGAGTATAGTAGTAGAAGTATGTCTGATGCTTTCTAAAAAATTCAGACTTTCATTGCAGCCAGGCACTACAAAGAACACTGTATTTCTGACACCGAATGGGATGCGAGACAGTGAATGGTTCCAATCACATACCCCACCCCCCTCCCCAATTTACAAAATGCCTTGTAATTTTTTACAGAATTCAAGGTGTTCTGTAAATGAAGGAGGGGAAGGATTGGAAAGGAGAGGTGGGTATCACACGTCACCTTGCATTCTGTGGGGACAAAAATTACAAGGTTCTCCTCATTGTTATCTATGCAGTGCAAAAATACAGTGCTTGTTGTAGTACCTTGCTTCAATCAATGTATTAGAGATAACTTGTTTAACTTGGGTAGGTTATGTATTTTATTTATTACAGGTACCTATGTAGCACTGTCAATTTACGCAGCGCTTTACATATATACAGTTGTGCTCAAATGTTTGCATACCCTGGCAGAAATCATTACATTTTGGAATTTATATTGAAAATATGAGTGATCATGCCAAAAAACTGTCTTTTATTTAAAGATAGTGATCATATGAAGCCATTTATTATCACTTAGTTGTGTGGCTCCTTTTTAAATCATAATGATAACAGAAATCACCCAAATGGCCATGATCAAAAGTTTACATACCCTGCAATGTTTGGCCTAGGTACAGACACACAAGGTAACACACACAGGTTAGAATTGCAATTAAAGGTTAATTTTCTACATATGTGACTTTTTTTACATTGCAATTAGTGATTGTGTACAAATAGTGAGTTTGTTAGCTCTCAGGTGGATGCACTGAGCAGGCTAGATAATAGGCCATGAGATGCAGGAAAAGAACTGTCAAAAGACATGGTTAAAAAGGTAATGGAACTTTATAAAGATGGAAAGAGATATAAAAAGATATCCAAATCCTTGAATATGCCATTCAGTACTGTTCAATCACTTATTAAAGAAGTGGAAAGTTCGGGGATCTCTTGATACCAAGTCAAGATCAGGTAGACCAAGGAAGTTTGCAGCCACGAGTGCCAGAGGAATTGTTCGGGATACACAGAAGAACCCAAAAAAAAAGGTAACCTCAGGAGAAATACTGGCTACTCTGGAAAAAGATGGTGTTGTTTCAAGGAGCACAATATGACAATACTTGAATAAATATGAGCTGTATAGTCAAGTTGCCAGAAAGAAGCCTTTACTGCACCAATGCTGCAAAAAAGCCAGTGAGGCATGTCAAGATGTTGTCAGGCACATTGTAACCAGGCTTTTTTTGTGGAATTGGCACAGTAAAGGCTTCTTTCTGGCAACTCAACCATACAGCTAATTTTTGTTCAAGTATGATCGTATTGTTCTACTTAAAAAAAAAAAAACACACCATCTTTTTCCAGAGCACCCTATAATTTATTCTGAGATTACCTGTGGGTTTTTCTCTGTATCCTGAACAATTCTTTTGGCAGTTGTGGCTGCAATTCTTCTTGGTCTACCTGACGTGGCTTGGGATCAAGAGATCCCTGAACCTTCCACTTCTTAACAAGTGCTTGAGCAGTACTGACCGGCGTATTCAAGGCTTTCAATATCTTTTAATATCCCTTTCCATCTTTATAAAGTCCCATTACCTAGTTGTGCAGGTCTTTTGAGAGTTCCTTTCCACTCCCCGTGGGTCAGTATCTAGCCTGCTCAGTGCATCCACCTGAGAGCTAACAAACTGACTATTTTCTATACACAGATACTAAATGCAATGTAAAAAAGTCACAAATGTGAGAAATGAACCTTTAATTGCAATTTTAACCCATGTGTGTCACCTTGTGTGTCTGTACCAAGGCCAAACATTCCAGGGTATGTAAACTTCTGATCCGGGCCATTTGAGTGATTTCTGTTATCAATATGATTTATAAAGGAGCCAAACAACAATGTGATAATAAATGGCTTTTTATGATCACCAACCTTAAACAAAAGACAGTTTTTTGGCAAGATCAGTCATATTTTCAATATAAATGCCATCATTTCACAATTTCTGCCAGGATATGAAAACTTTTAAGCACAACTGTATATAGTACATTCACATCAGTCCCTAACCCTTAAGGTCCCTAACTTACATTCATACATACACATACTAGGGACAATTTAGACAGGAGCCAAGTCACCTACCAGCATGTCTTTGGAGTGTGGGAGAGGAAAAAAACGGAGTACCTGGAGGAAACCCACGCAGGCACAGGGAGAACATGCAAACTCCTAGCCGTGCCGTGCCGTGGTTGGGATTCAAACCAACAACCCTAGTACTGCCAGGCAGTTTCTAAAAAAAAAAACCCTTGCTATCCAAGGGGAAGGGGCACAAACTAGTGAACGTTTATGGCTAACTGGAGTACAGCTCTAAAGGTAATATGCAGG